AAAAAAAAAAAAAAAAAAAAAAAAAAAAAGGGCATGAATGAATGCATGAATGAATGCATGATCACCGCCCTCCCACCAGACTTCAGTCTGACTGGGTAAATGAGACATGTATTTGGGGCTATCACATGAGAGAGTTACAAAGAGAGTTCATGTTTTGCCAACATGTGTTCATTCACCAAACAGTGATTGAGCTTTCACTAGGGCCAGGCATGGTGCCAGGCCCTGGATGAACCATGGTGAACAAGATATGGTTCTGGCCTGGCAGTGTCTGGAATTCTGGAGGAGGGAGTGCCTGAGTGGGTCTTTGGGAAGGTGCCGGGGCATTGGATGAGGAGCAGGGAGGGAGAAAGGGCAGAGTAGGGGAGGGTCAGACCCTGCTATTCCCAGGCCCTCCCAGACATTCCCCTGATCTAGAAGAAGAAATTATCTGTGGAAATGAGGGGTTGGGCTGTGGGGGGGCATGAATCCCCCCAGGCCCGGGCACAGTGGAACCCAGATGGCACTCTGCAGGTCAGCCAGGATGACTGAGGTACTGACGTGGAGGAGGGAGGCTGCTGGTCAGCCACTCTCCCCCCCCAGCTCTCTGGCACTGTGCTGAGCACCCTCCCTGGGACAAGGACAGTCACTTGTCACAGCTCTAACTGAAGACACTTCTGCAGTCTGGGATGGGATGCTCTTGCAATCTTAAGAGGGCTGCAAGTCTCCCTCCCTCTCTTCCTCTCTAAGGCCAGCCCTCTCGCGGGACTTTTCACAGCCCCCCTCCTTTCCCCAGGCTCGCTCCTGTCTGCCAGCCAGGCCACCTGTTACACTTTGCAGACCAGTGCTGGAGGGAGACCAGCGGGCTGTGGGCCATGGAGTGGGAGTTCCCCAAGCCTGGTGGAGTTCTGGGGTGGAAGGGACTTCGGTGGGAAGGGGCTACTGAAGGCTGTGTGACCAGGGGCAAATGGAATCCCCTCCCCCTCCCATCCTGTGTCATATGCTCAAACCAGGAGCAGTGGGGTGTGCAAATGAACATGCCACATGGGGGCACACGCCACGTGCGTGGTGCAGATGTGTGATAAGCTGGCCTAAGGTGGGGGTCTTAGTGATGCTCAGGGAAGATGGGGGTGGGGGTGGGGAGGAGTGTGACCCCTTGGCATCACTGGATTTGCCGTACTTCTCAGGGAGTGTGTCGGGATGCTATGTTCCTTGACCCTCGACCTTTGGGGTCAGGAGGGGTCCCTGCCAAGTCCTCTGAGTCGAGGAGCAGACATCCGCCCCGGGGGAGGGGGGGAAAAGGGGGCTTCCAGGAGAGGACGCCGGTGGGGCGTGGTGAGAGGGGGAGCAGGAGGCGGGGCTGGTGCGGAGGGGTGGCGGGGAGCTGGGCGAGCCCCAGCCTTCCGGCGGTGGAGGTGCGGGGTCGGTGGTGGGCTCCCAGGTGCTCTCTTTTTAAAAGGCCGGCGGAAGCCGCGCGCTCGGCCGCACCTGCAGAGCAAACTTGGCGGGCAGGGCTCCCGCCTTCCCGAGTGTGGCGGCAGCAGAGTGGGCGTCGGGCTGAGCGGCTGCGGTCCCCTCGCCCCCTCGTGCTCCCGGCGCCCGCCCCCTCCCGCAGCCTCCCCTCTCGGCGTCTTCCTCGCTTGCTCGCTCGCTCGCTCGCTCTCCAGCGCGCTCTCAAGCTCGCTCTCCTTTTTTCCTGCTGCCGTGCGGCTGCCGCGGCGCTGCCGGGCGCCCGCATCTCAGCCGGCTGAGCTCGCTGCTCGGCTCACGCTCCACTCCCTTCCTAGCCCGGAGCCCTCGGCCAGACCCCTCACCCCGGAGTCGCCTCCTCTCTCCCTCCGGCTCGGACGCCGGGCTCCGCGGCGGACCGAGCAGGGCTGCCCGCCGCTCCCTAGCTCGCTGGCTCGCTCTCGCCGGAGCAGCAGCAGACCGCCGCGCGATTGGAGGCGGCTCGGGCCGGGCGGCCGCCAGCTCCTCCCCGCTGCGTCCCGGACTCCGGGCGGCTCCGCGCCGGGCTCGGACCGCAGCGTTCGAGCCGCCCGCCGCGGGCCGGGCTCCGGCCACCGCGAAAAGCCAGCCTCCGGCCGCCGCCTCCCTGCGCCCCCGGCGCGGGCGGGTGCGCCACCGAGTCCTCGCCGGCGCGCGGTGAGTTGTGGCCCGCGGGGAACGGGCAGAGGGGACAGTGCCCTCCGGCCTCTGGGGCGCGAGCTGCGGCGGGGACTCCAGGGCTCGGGGAGGTGGCCTCTGACGAGCTCCCGGGCTCGGGGCTGCCCAGAGGGCCGGCGGACCGGAGCTTTCGGGGCTGGAGGGCGCGGGACCCGGGCTAGAGACAGGCAATAGGGCAGCGGCTCTTTCGCGGGCCTGGGGGAAAGTGTCTCTGTGCCTGGGGTTGCTTCGGGTTCCACCGACTGGGGGGTCGAGCCCGCTCTCAGGTGGGGGCGGCGGCATCAGAGCGCCCCCTCTGCGGAGAGGTAGGGCGGGCGGGGGCGCGGGCCGTTCTTTGCCCCGGTTCCCCGCGGTCTCCCGGCCTCGCGCGCCTCTGCTCCTTGACCCACACCAGCCCCGCGTCCCGCTCCCGTGGCCGCCCCAGCGTCGCCTTAGTCTCCGACCGACCCCGGCGCCGGAGGCTTGCTCTCGGCGGAGGCGGGATGGGACGGCACCCCAGGGTCTGGGGTCTCCCCGCGGCCCCGGGACTTCACGGTCGGGTGCTTCTCGGATATTCGGGACCGACCCTCTCCGGGACCCTGATGAACCTTTGCTTCTACGCGGCCACGGGGCGGGCAGCCGGGCCGAGTGTCCGTGTCCGTGTCCGTGTGTGTGTGTGTGTGTGTGTGTGTGTGTGTGTGTT